ACATAAATAGTGAAAAGTTGGTGTTACATTGTACAGTTGCATAATGTGCACCTCTGCCTACCCATTCGGGTATAAAAAGCGTGATGTTATGTTAAAACCAAGAGTACCTATTCTCTTTAGCGAACAAATAGAGAGAGTATCTCTAGTGTGAGCTGACTGAAAAAATGATTCACACGTCTATACCTGGATATTACAGTATTTACATTCATAAAATAAGTTGCTACGGAAGCATCATTTATCCAGTGTTTAATGTTTATCCCAACCAAGCAGAATGTTGAAATGCAAGCATCATTAAAAGAATTAATGGATCTGCAAATCGCTGTCTGCAAATTATTGTACACAATGCATGAATGAATCAGTGTCCAAAAACTGTTATTCAGATATTGCCGTGTAGACTTGTAACTATCATAAAATATCAATGTTTCAAGAAGATAAATGATTTTTTAAAATAAAGACATAAAGCTGGGTCAAGTCCAACGATACAAAACAAACGACAGGTACCTATTGTTTGAAACATTGTTTATGTATCTAGACGTACATAGATGACGTTGAAAGCGCTATAAAATGTATGAGTATGATTTTTTTACTTCGGAAAATAATATTTTGTGCCGAATTTATGCTTTGACGTTCAAATGAAGCTGGAACTGCATAATGTTTTCTTTAATTATGTAGCTATGCTACCTTCAGACCTGAGGGTCTGAATAATAGAATGCATATCATCCTAACAAGGAGGACAGCAGATGGTACCTAGTAGCGCTTGATTGATTTGAGACTATAACTTCAGTTAGCTGATATCACAGACAGTCACAGTAGATATTCTATTTAATTGAAGCCAGTAACAAACTTACAGCTTCACCCAGTTTCTATAATACAACATACATAATAACAAATCTGTTATAGGTACCTTGGTAGGCAAAGTTTCCTAACGCCTGTAAATTCTAGAACGAACGCACGCTGTTAATCACTACAAACACTCACCGTAGAGGAATCTCACAACAAAAGCAACTCTGTTGTCCCACGAATAGGCCATTTTGAGTGATGAACTGTTAGTATGTTTAGATGTTGTGTCGTTGTCCGGGTTTGTATTAGCCGGGTTATAGTGGCGCGGCGGCGGTCGCGACTCAACTGACGGCCGCCGCCCGCGCCTCTCCGCTCCGAATAAACCAACGAAATAAAACAATATTACAAGACGACCACGTCACCACCGACACCCTAAATATCTACGCAACGCCGTGGACAACCCGCTGTACGTTTGGCAGGGACACCACGGGCCCAGTGGCCTCATCATGCAAGGTCGTGGGTTGCATTACAGTGCATCTAATTTAAACTGACTTTTATATTCACTACCGATCAACGGGTAATTATAACTGCACCAATGACTAATGAAGTACCTACTGAGTATCACGTTCGCAAAGGAATATTTCAATTTATAAGTAACGTTGGAACTTCAATCTGTTTGTAATTGGTTTAAATACTTGCCTATTTAAATTGTGCTATTTGTGACAAGACTCAAATAGCATAATATAATAGTCGAGTAGTCAAGCAAGCTTGACCACTGAGCCAACGGTCTCGGGTTCAATTCCTGATTTCCTGAGTAGGGCTTCGGAATACTATAAGCAAGTTTAAAATTGCCACCTATTAGGTACATAATTTACAGGGAATTTATAAAGGATTGGAGACTCAAATCTTTGGAAAGTAAAAACATGATGGTGTTATAGTGTTTAAAGTTTTGTAGATAATGGTTAATGATTATATCTACATCATTACTAAGCCACCTATAACTATAATACCATAATTCTGTCTGCTGCAGCCTCAAAAGCCCTTAGGTGCGATTATTACATACTTTGCTCTTCTTTACCAAAGATGATTACTTGAAACCTGAGATAATGAATAGGTATGATAGCAGTCTGCACGGTGGGAGCAGTTATTTCACCAGCGGTCGTTGCGCAACGTGTTGCAGCAGCGATGTCCGTACGGAACCGTTCTCTTTACGATACACAAACTTTCGTTATGTTGATAAGTGTAATGTAGTAGAATTATCTAAATAAAATATGTATCACAAATAAATATGCACCCGGGACATAGAACAACTCGTAATGTAATTTATTATTACAAGAGATTACAGTTAATTATAGGAAATCAAGCAATAATTTTATCAGGCCAATATTATTATAGATATCATATTGAATAGACCATTATAATTTTGCTCAGAATAATCTTATTTATTTTTAAAATGAAAATAGATAATTATCGAGAAATATATTTGCATTGGCAACACTTTTGAAAGTTCAAGTCAGTAAATTACAATCTTAAGCATTGCATAAAGCTCTCTATCCTCCTCATACATGCGCAAAACTTATAATATTGTCCTGCTCTATGGTTAATCGCAGTGTCAATGTCATTAGCGTCATTGTCAAATGAATTGTAGACATGCGCAAAACAGTGCTTCCCGAAGTAATGTGATATGGCATTACATTTCGTACCGAGTAATATTACATTTTACCATCACTTCAAACATCACCTGTAATGTTGCATCATATGGTAATTGGTGAAATATAGAGGCTATAATCACTGTCGTGATAGGTATTCCAATGCAATGTTCAGGTTTATCACATAGCACAGAATAATAATAGAGAGCCTTAACGAGTGACGTTCTTATGTGATGTGTCTGAACTGAATAGCCTATGAAATACGCCACAGTCGAGATGTAATTTACAAAACCTAAACCTATTTATTTACACTAATTTACACATTCACATGAAGTATATATTAAGTATGTACTTGTCAAACATGCTATCACTCTCATTATAAATTTAGAAATATTCTTAAATTATTAGTGCAATCGTGACACGACCTTCACCGCATAAACAAAACCAACGACGAACTAAACAAAATAAAAAAAATGTCGTCGAAATTACGATGCATACATGAATTACGACGAGTGGCTTAAACAAATATAATCCTTATGTTTTAATAAATACAGTTCTAAATCAAAGATCAATAAAATTACCAAACCGAATCGTGCGGCGAATATTTACGATTCCGTCCGAAGCAAGTCCGAAGTAAGCCGAACATTGAAACGAAACATTGCAGGCAGGCAGAACAGTGCACACGTCTGCGAATCATCCCGCATGTCATTCGCGCGCGCGTCATGTTATGAAGTGATGTGTGATGCTTGTTTTGGTCGAGTAATGTGTAATGCTACAGTACTCGGTCGGGTGATATTACTCGTAATACATCACTGGCATTACTTACACATGTCTATGAATTAGTCAACAATGCGATTTCGCCAACAGACTTGCTGTTCTTGTTTTGTAATTATTTAAAACTGGTCTATTTTGAGACAGAAGTTGAGTAGCCACTAAACTAGTGATTGTGCTTTAACCCTACTAACCATATTTCAAAACAAGATATAAATAACCGACACATTTTAAGAATGAGTGACAGAATCTATAGTAATTTCGTGAAAGCAAGTTCACCTGTAGAAGACGTAAATACTAAACAGGATATTACAGTGTTAAGTGGAGAAGAAGCAAGAAAACTATATCTTGAAGAGGTAAAACACGCAAAAGCACCAAATAGGCTCAAGACACATGGAATAGAAAAAAAGAAAAAGGTTATTACAGAAGAAAAAACACCACTATCAAACAAAGACTTGTTTCTTACAGTACAAAATAATGATATTGACAAACTTAAATGTGAACTAGATAGATACCCTGATAAGCTAAATATTGTCGATGAGTTTGGCTGGAATTTACTGATGATAGCGTGCCAAGCAAACTCTGTCGATGTTGTAAAACTATTATTAAAAAGAGGAATAGATATGTCTGTAAGAGACAAAGCTGGTAATTCCGCCCGAAGTCTAGTGATTAAGAACAAAAATTATATTCTAGCTGATATTTTACTAAGATACATACAGAAAGAATCTCCACTGAAGCCAAAACCAAAACAAACATCAGTAACAGTTAAATTGAAAGAAGAATATTTGTGTAACGCTTGTAACAAAACATTTCCTGATAGAGAAGAACATTTGTCATCAACAATACACAATATAACAGCTAGTAGAGGGAAGAAAATACCGGCATGTTATATGTTACCAGAAACAAATAAAGGATATCAGTTAATGCTGAAAGGCGGATGGGATAAACAGTCTGGTCTAGGCAGAGATGGATCTGGCAAACTTTATCCTATTAAACCTGTACAAAAGAAGGACAGAAAAGGCCTTGGGCATGCCAAACAAAAGCCTATAGACAAAACACAAGACAATGTTAAACATAAAAATAGAATGAAGTTGGCAAGAGACCATCGGAGTGACAAATCATTTGAAATAAAGTTTAGACGTGAATTTTACTGAAACATGTCGTTTTATTTTTCTTTTATGGTAGTGATAACAATAGTATATTATGTATTGTAACAAAATATGTATGTACAAATAAGTTATGAGCTTGACATTAAAATAATAAGACCTGTAAGATTGATAAGATAATTCATAATCTCACATTATATTGTGTCACCATGGGCAATTTATATATCTCATGCTGTTAGTTACCAGTTTTACAATATCTTTAGCACATTGTAATGATAATAAGTGAAATAGTTATCAACAAAAACCATCCCAACTTCATCTAGGATAGGATAGATAGTAATCTAAAAAGTGTTGCTTGAAAAAATATATTTATTATTTGCTTTGAAAGGCATTGCACATAATCTTTTTACAGATGTATAACAACCTGTTATAATAATACTTATAAATATAATACATTTTCAGAAGAGGCATCATATTGGTTTTGTGCGCAACTGCATTTAAATAATCATAAAAACTATGTCATGAATTAAATTCTTTTACTTGAGAACTTTGTAGTGATTATAACAAAAATATATTCGTTTTTATTTTACTATACATAAAATACATGTTTATGACTTACAACTTCATCTACTTTTACTTATAAACTAACTATGATACTAGTATTATTTTGCTCTATAAACACATTTGACAGATATCAAAGGTTAGGGGCCACCCAGTTGAGGAAGTTCACAGCAAGTTCAAATCCTACAAAACATGCTGCATTGGCAGGGAAAGCTCTGAGCATGACAGGTGTCACTCCTTTGTATAAGGCAGTAGGACCTTCCCTTTCCATCAGCTGTCTAAATACATCCCTCATGCCATTAGGATATGTTCCTTCAGGAGCTGTTTGCAGTCTGCTCTTCAATACATCGGCCGGCATGCCTACCAGCCAGTTAGCTATTCCAGCACAACCACCAGCAACTATAGTTGCCATCATCTTAAGTTTAGCACTGGCGTCTTGGGGGACCAGAACTTCTTTGACCCATTCATAAGTCATGAAGTACATACCACTGGCAGGCACATCTCTTAGTATCGTGGCCACACTGCCCTTGTATATGCTCCTCATGCCACCTTCAGCGTAAAGCTGCCTGGCACAGTCAACCATGCCTGTGTATTTTTGTGGCACATTGCCACCCTGTTGAATCTGAAGTAGACACTTGATGCGCTCCCCTGGTGCCATTATGGAAGTAGTGAAAATACCAGAGAAAGCACCAGCGGCAAACAGTTCCACTTTTGATAAAACTTGGTCTTCGTCTCTTTTAATTAGTTTCTTACCGAGTCCGAAACCAAAGAAACTAATAGCAAAAATTGGAGCTACCCCAGTTAAGGGTGCCGACATACCCTTATACAGTCCTCTGAATCCTTCTTTCTGTATAGTCTTTTTAAAGCAGTCATATGTGCCAGCGTACATGGCAATCTCCCCGGATTGCGGCACTGGCATAGTCTGTAGTCTTACTTTTACAGTGTCCATGGGATGGCCAGCTAAAACCGTGCAAACACCACCAAATCCACCACTTAAAAAGTATTTAATTGGGCTACTATTTTCAGACATTTTCGTTTCGTTTGTTCGTTCGGAGGTGAAAGGATATATAGCCTTAGGAAACTGGTTCTTAGTCGAAACACTAAATTAATTTTAATCAACAAATTGTCTGTGTTGTCTCATGTCAAAGTCCAAAATTGCGTTCCAGTTCACGCTCTCGCTACACTAATTGTGAAACATGTAGGGTAGTAGGAAATATTGCTTTTTCTCTTTTATCCAATGATGTAGTCCAATTACAAATATAATATCTACAATTTTGTTTGCCAACGGTATAGTTATGAAATACTTGTTGAATATAATAATAATTGGAAACAGCTGGGTTTCTTAAAAATTTGTAAAAAGTTGACATCTGAGATTGACAAAATCTTGCTTGACATTGATGGCAGTTATAAGTTGTCACTCTGTCAGTTTATCAACACAACAGTGAAAAGTTTTGTTTTGTGTGGAAGTGAGGCAAAATAGTTAACATGTTGGTTAGATTTGCTGTTGCTGTACTTAGCATATAAATTAGCCGAACATAAAATACGAAGTTATACTAAATAAAAAAACTGATTAAATTACTAAAATGTCGTGTTCTAAAGAAGAAATCGAAAGAAAACGCCTGGCTGCGCTTCAGAAACGACAAAACCTGCTTGCTAATCGAAATACTCCTGTAAAACCAAACCCTACGCAAAGTACTCAATGCAGGAGTCCGCTACCCTCGTCATCAAATAGTGGTTTTAAATCGTTTACTAGTTATTCAAATAGAAGTCATCCTTACGCTAAACCTAATGTTCAAGGTAGTAGTGTTCAAGAGAATAATGTTCCTGTGGGCAAAGTGGTCAGTGGAACTGTGTACCTGATCTCAGAAGACAGGTTTGAAGTGAACCCATCAGAGTTTTGTACACCTCTCATAAATATATTCAAAAGTTTGCCTTCTAAGAGTTATGGTGAGTTAGTTTTCAGTTACCTATTATTCAATTAAAATATATACCTACTTAGTGTGAATAACTCAGATAGGTCAAGCCATATATCAAGCCATATATATATATAACAAATATCAAGTTTTCAATAAGAAGATTATATTATCAAATTGTTCTTATTGGAAATAAATTTTACATAGTAATATTTTATGCATATTATCTACGCTTGTCAAATATTAAATAGGTAATTTTAAATATTTCAGATTCAAAATCAAAGTTGTGGAATTTTTCAATCAATGATTATCAGCAGCTGATGTCTAAAGTGGCTCCATTGGCACCTCATGTAGTGTTAGGCCCAATCCCACCGTATGTACTAAGGGTAAATGTCTATCTTCTTTATTAATTTTTTTTTTTTTTTTTAAAACGTTGCCCCACTTTAGGATTTTTTCCTGTGTCGTGGGTGCGTTTACAAACATACAAGTTCATATACACAAAGACACCCAGGCCGGAAACAACAATTTGTGGATCACACAAAGTGTTGTCCCGTGCGGGAATCGAACCCGCGACACGTTGCACGGCAGCCGGTTGCCCAGCCACCGCACCAACCGTGCAGTCAAATTTATTGACTAGCAATCCGCTCCAGTTTCGCATGGGTGCAATATGCATGTATTATACATGTAAAGGAGAATGGCAGGTTTGTATGGAAGTTTTGTACCGCTATAAAATTTTGTATTAGTCATTGTTTTAACCAAGTGAATAGTCTGAACGATAGATATTTTTATTATGAAGTTTAGAAAAAAATTACATATTTTTAGAACTTGGGGTTCAAAAGTTATTTCACTTTGAAAATGTGCAAAAGGTATGTTAAGGTGGTACCACACTTGACATTGCGTAGTCGCTTCATTTGTCCAAATATTTGTAGACTACGTACAAATGGCGTCCAAATAGTACCTCTATATGTAATGGCGTGCAAATATATAGCAAACAAAGAAGAATAAATCCTCCAAACATGTTTTTTTTTTGGCCGAACACAATAAATACGCAACGTCAAGTGTAGAGCCACCGTAAGCAAAATATCTATTACAAATGACAGATGACAGTTAACTGAAAAATGTCAATGTGCTCTCATGTGGTTGTTTATTTACAAAAAACAAAAATCTAAAAATACTGCTCGCTACTCAAGTGACTATTACACTTTGTATTATTAGAAAGAAAGAAAAACCATTTAATTTGCTACGACACACAACAAGAATTTAGAAACCCAAAAAATAACCTATGGTGCGTCGCAGCGCAAAAGGCAATTAGGAATGATCCTGTTAATTCAGCAAGCATGATGCACCTATAGAGTTTTAAAGAGTATGCCTCACAATCTTTTTCATTTCTTAGGTGCCTACGAAAATGCAAATTCATAATGTAAGCGACTGTCATTGGGTAGAAAACTAATGTCTCACTTCACCTTGAATCTTGCAGGTAGATAGTCTCAAGGGTCTCAAGTTAATTCGATTTAAACTTAGCTCTTTGAGAAAGTATTTCTTCTGAAAACTGGTTGCTTAGCACGCATGTAAGGATTCATTTCTAATAAGTAAGTCAAATTAGTAGAATCATCAACATTTTCATCATTAAGTCTATAAGTGGCCACTGCTGACCGAAGCCTCTTCTCGCATGGAGGTTTGAGCATTAATCACCATACTAGCTCAATGTGGGTTGGTAATTCAAACTTATAATAAGAAATTATAAGCCCATGTTTCCTCACAATGTTTTCCTTCACCATTCGTCAGCGGTGTCTTTGTACTTTCTTAGATTATTGAATATACCAATAACTCGGAAAAAAGACACATTGGACAAAAGGTACTTTGCCGTTGGTAGGTTTAGAACCCGCACTCTCATGCATGAGAAGCGGGCTTCTTAAACCTCTGGGCCACCACATTACAACTAAAGAAAATGTAAAATGAAAATGAACATTTTTGGTATAAAACTAAAGCTATCTAAATTAAATATGGCATTTATTTTATAGATTGATTCTTAAAATCACTTTTATCAAGATGGAATATATAGTTACTTACTAGGTTAAAATAAAACAAATGTATTATTTTGAAATTTATTTATTTATTTATTTGTTTATTGATTAACACGGTAGACACCAATTACATTAATCAAACATAATAATTACAAAAAATATAAAAAATAAGAAAACTAAATCAAAGTACATAGCATAAAAAAAAATGTGGAACGCTTCACGATTTTGCGTGTCATCCTTGCGCAGGGGCCATGCTAATCTTCTCTGTATCGTTCCAATTTTAGTATATGTACTGCCGAAGCAAGTACATATACTAAAAATACTTTTATTTCATTGTATTCAGGTTGTTTCTAGGAGTACTTCATCTAAAAAGAGAACAGGCCGTGTCATAGGTACAGCAGACATCAATTGCTGATATCTGTAAACAAGTAAGATAACTGTAAATAAAGTAAACAAAAGTACATTTTTTTCCTTTAGTTTTATATGTTATAATAATAAGTCTGATTCCCTATCTTAAAATGGAAAAGATAAAAATAAATATTTGATTACATTACTTCATTTTATAACATTTATTATAGTTATTTGTATAACACAGATCATAGGAGCTCAAACAGCATGCTAATTAATAAATTATAATTATAACATGAGTATAAACCTATTAGAAACCGCTTATATACTCCACATAGATACATAATTATGTAGGTACATTATATTGGGAATGCATACCTGTTGAAGCTTTGAGAGCCGAACAACATCATCCGGCCTCATCTGTTCTACAAATGGCAATGTTAAAGTGAGGCTTAGTCCATGTTTACATAATACATTACTTCCTGATAGTGAACTTTGTGAGGTGGTATGTCAGGTTGTGGTTTTATAGTTTCGACTCTTGTACAGTCTCTCAGTCAGTATGGAACATGATCTTCATCATGGGAAGTAAACTAAAATAAGTAATATTATTAGAATATGATATTGACTTTAGATTACACTGTATATAGATAATAGTATGGTTTAATTATGCTTTATTACCTCTTGTGGCTGAATCCAATCAAATACTATATGAGCCAGTCTTTACTCCTGTTTGTTGGCACCTTCAATTAAAACCCTGCGTCACCTTATCATTGCAATGAATCACCCATATACGACACAAACATGCCAGTGACCAATTTGTTTGCTGGACATACTTTCAGCAACATCCCGATACATTGCTAATTGCCAGCAAGCATTGCAAATATGGTCGGTAGGAGAGATCTAGAATAAAAAGAATAAAATGATACATTATGGGTAGATAACACTATGCGCCTTCTTTTATTCAGGAACATGGTGACTTTCGATATGTTATGGGTAAACTAGGTACTTACATCTCTAGGATAAGTCCACATTGGGATATTGTTGATCACGTCTAATCTTCACTCTCATTTTCTAGAGCATGCCGTCTCATGTGCGACAAACTCTGAATGCAATTAATACACTGTAAATTCATCATCGCGACAAATAACAACACACTGCACAAAATAATGTAAATAAGTGTCTTTTCGCAATTGTCACAACAATGATGCCAATAATACCAATTTGGGCTACGGAGGAACGGTTGCCAAACTCAACGTATCACCAGATGAATAAAATAACTTCAAATTCAACAAACACATCATAACATCGCATTTGAAACAAACAGCAATGCGCCAGTATTGACAAATTAATTGTCAATGTCATCAAGACAAATGCCAGTTCAACATTGCCATAATATTCAAGTTTGTTAAAATGTTAATTATCGTTAATAATCCATGTAAACGTAGATTTAGATTGGATGTAGATTTTTATATTTACTTATAAAAATGTTTGAAATGGAAAGGAAAATATTTCATTGATAGATATTAAAATAAATGAGTTTATGAAATAGCGAAATTCAATATGCTCTGATTTCATCTTAACGCATGGCAACTTTGTAAACGTCAATCGCGGTTCGTTTTACGTATAGTGGATTGCTTTTTATCATTATTGAATATCAGTTTTTCTAGGGTTTCCCAAGTTTTAAAAATCTATTAAATATGCTAACATAACGTACTTAGGAGGTTCTATAATGACCCAATTTTTTAATGACAAATGTTTTTTTAGCGAAGCGGTACAAAATCTGCCGTTCTCCTTTCCTTAATAATTACTCTGTCTGTTGAAACAAACCACATCAAAATTAGTTGTGTGGTTTTAAAAAATTAAACTAAACTAAACTTTGTTTTATACTAGTGTTGTAGTGGATAAATTGTCTTCAAAATACTTTGTTATTTAATGAGGCCATTACCAAATAAATCTTGCTAACAGTGACTATTGTACTTTAATACATATAATCAGTAGATATTGTTTTATATCTACAATTTAATTTCACAATCATTGTTTAATTGTTATTTGTGCTAGAATAACAATTTATATTTTTTCCTTTTTTCTAAACATGTAGGTATTGCGAGAGGATGCCATGGACCCCAGTACTGTAGACTTGACTCCTATTGAAGTCACCTTAAGACATAAACTCATGCCATTCCAGGAAGAAGGAGTAAGGTTTGTTATTTAATTATTTGGTTTTAAAAAGTTGTGTATTTATCTATATGAATTTTGGAATGATTACCTAGTTGACTTACAATCCAAACATAACATAACATCACGTCTTTTATCTCCAAAAGGGTAGCCACAGGTGCAGATTAAGGCACTTAATGCCACTGTACAAAACACTTAACACCCACTTTTCAAAATCTATGTTATGAGTCCCAAGTAGTATGCCTATGGCAATCCATATACCGGGCACAATTCCAGACTCCATGCTGCTACTGAGAATTTTTTAAAACCTAGTATTTTGCTCGACGACGGGAATCGAACCCGGGAGCCGGGCCCGGCAGTCGCACTTGCGACCACTTGGCCAACGAGGTAGTCTTATTGAAGACTTGTTACTTGATGCAGACTTACAAACCAACTGGTTGACAATTTTATTTTAAGAAGTCTGTATGTTAAATAATTTTATTAACTTAAAAGCTTTCATTTTCTCAGTAAAGTATACCTAAGATAAATTATTTTTCTAATAGGTTTGGTATATCCCGGCGAGGTCGCTGCATGATAGCGGATGACATGGGGCTAGGGAAGACCTTCCAAGCGCTTGCCATCGCCAGCTACTACAGACACAACTGGCCACTGCTCATTGTAACCACGTCTTCTATGAGGTAAGAGAAAAATTCTATGTCTAATTACCTATTAAAAATATTGATGTTGTGGTGGCTCAGATGTTTAAGATGCTTGCTTTTCATGCATGAGGTTGTGGGTATCATACCTACCAATGGGAAGTACCAACTACCAATGTCACTTATGTACTTTCTAAATGATTTAGACACCACTGACAAACGGTGAAGGAAAACATCGTGAGGAAACCTGGGCTTATAATTTCAAATTGTAAGTTTGAAATCGCCAACCGGCATTGAGCAAGTGTGATGATTAATGCTCAAACCTTCTCCGTGTGAGGAGAGGCTTTGCTCAGCAGTGGGCATTCATAGGCTGTTGCTGATAATGATGATGACCTATTATAAATATTTTAATAGATTGTTAATTTCTTTTTGACTGCGCGGTTGGTGCGGTGGCTGGGCAACCGGCTGCCGTGCAATGTGTTGTGGGTTCGATTCCCGCACGGAACAATACCTTGTGTGATCCACAAATTGTTGTTTCGATTCTGTGTGTCATTGTGTATGTGAACTTGTATGTTTGTAAACGCACCCACGACACAGGAGAAAAACCTAGTGTGGGGCAAAATTAAAAAAAAAGTTATCATTTTCAACTGACTACAAACATGATAACACCACTTTAATCCCTCTTCTTTGTTTCAAAAATAGTTACATGATATTATTTAAAATACAGCAGTATAAAGGCTAACTACTTGAATATATGGTCCTATGTCCATGTCCAGGTTTACATGGCAGTCCAAGATACAGGAGTTGCTCCCCTCAGTTCCCATGATGAATGTAGCCACACTCACTAGTGGCAAGGATACTCAACTTGTTGCAGATAAGCAGGTATATTATCAAACATTTAAATAGTATAAATAACATAACATAACATCACGCCTTTTATCCCCGAAGGCCGGCAGAGGTGCACATTATGCCACTATCCTGTACCACCCACTTTTCACTATTTATGTTATGAGTCCCATGTAATAGGGGGTGAACCTATTGCCACATACCGGCACATTTCTAGACTCCGTGCTACTACTGAGATTTTTTTTAAAAACCCAGTAGTACTTTGCCCGACCCGGGAATCGAACCCGAGACCTCTTGCCCGACAGTCGCACTTGCGTCCACTCGGCCAACGAGGCAGTCAATAGTATAACTTAAAATAATAATTACTTAAAATAATTTTGATAGAATTTTACAGGTTTTTTTTTGTACAATACATATGTATTTAATTTAAGAAGAGAATATCAAGTTGACCATGGATACCTTGTTGATGAAGTGATATTATTTATTCTTATGAATAATATCACTTCATCAACAAGGTATCCATCACGGAAAGGAATAAGTATAGATTATTTATCGATTACGATATTATTATTTCAGACTGAAGTGGTGATAGTGAGTTACAAGATCACCAGCATGTATACAGATTTGCTGAAGAGTAAGAAGTTTGGAGTGGTTATTATAGTAAGTATTACTTTAACACAATTATTCAAACTTTCGTGAGACATACTAAATTAATTATTATATTTCCGGCTTACTCATGCAACTGTGAGTAGTACCGCGACAGTCGCCGCGTCGCGTGTCGCGGAATGCTGCTCATGAATATGAGCCTCTAGCATAGCACAGGTGGTACGTAGCATAGGTAGCATAGGTGGCACAGGTGGTACGTAGCATGGGTAGCATAGGTGGCACAGGTGGTAGGTAGCATAGGTAGCATAGGTGGCACAGGTGGTACGTAGCATAGGTAGCATAGGTGGCACAGGTGGTACGTAGCATAGGTAGCATAGGTGGCACAGGTGGTACGTAGCATAGGTAGCATAGGTGGCACAGGTGGTACGTAGCATAGGTAGCATAGGTGGCACAGGTGGTACGTAGCATAGGCAGCATAGGTGGCACAGGTGGTACGTAGCATAGGTAGCATAGGTGGCACAGGTGGTACGTAGCATAGGTAGCATAGGTGGCACAGGTGGTACGTAGCATAGGTAGCATAGGTGGCACAGGTGGTACGTAGCATAGGTAGCATAGGTAGCATAGGTGGCACAGGTGGTACGGTTGTTTGTCCCCCAGTTCTGAACCACCAGCTTACGCCACGTAGGCACCCCTTACTGGCTGTCCCAGTAACGCGAACAGTCGCGCATGCAAATTCTCCGCTTGTTCGAGCATTAACGATGGTCAATGCTTTCTTGGCATCCGCACCAGAGTGTGATTTGTTCGCAGCGAGATGGAAGGATGTATGTCGTGAATGTGTAAGATTTTGTGAGAAGATGGACGGCTGATGAATTAGGTTTAAGTAATTATAATTATTGTACTTTTATGTAAGATACCTATTACATAAGTGTAAAATAGTAAATGTGTAATATTTTTTATTGTTTAACTGTACATTGTTTTGGCTTGTGCTGTAAAATGATACATGTGCTTATAAATAAATAAATAGCTGTTTCGTGAGTAAGCCGGATACATAATAATTTAACATAATTATATAAAATTACTTATTACAGGATAATTTGTACTCTTTCAGTCTTTTTCTTAGTTAAGCTTTCAGTAACAGACCAGAAGTCTGAATATTTCCTTATTTGAAAACCTTTATACATACCTATTTGCTTAAAATATTAAATTCTTATAAGATTTGTAAGTAAGTAGATACTGCTATCGTACTTATGATAAAGCACTTAGGTACTTGTGATAATATTATTATCAATGCATTTTGTATGATAGGATAGGCCTTGGATAACAATCCTTTATGCAAGTCTGTTAATCAAGGATCCATGATTATTTTATTATATCAGTAAAGTATTTACATGACATTGCATTCATGTAGGTACAAGTTGTGACAGGCATTTTAAGGAGGCCATGCACGCTAGGTTTTGCATGATGGTTTTAGCCGTGCATGCATAACCGACAGGCAAGCCCTAGCGTGTATGTGATTAAACTGTGCAGTTATCGGTGCATGTACATGCAAAACATAACGTGTATGTGTAGTATGAAACTCGGTTATGCTCTTTAAGGAGGCCTCCTTTGAGGAGGACATACACGCTAGGTTATGTATGATGGTTATAACTGTGCCTGCAAAACCGACATGCATAACCGAGTTTCATACCACACATACCCCTTCGGGGATAAAAGGCGTGATGTTATGTAAAAATATATTTTGAACATTCCAGGATGAATCTCATTACCTAAAGTCCCACAAGGCGCAGTGTACCGTGGCGCTGGGCAGTATCACGCGGCAGTGCACGCGCGCCGTGCTACTCAGTGGCACGCCCGCGCTCAGCAGGCCGGCCGAGCTGTACACTCAACTGGCACTCATAGAGCCTGGCTTCTTCACCTCGTATACTGAGTATGGTAAGATATACAGACATACATCATACATCATCAGCCTCTAAGTACACAGTACCCACTGTTGACCAAAGGCCTTATCTCACACGAAGATGGTTTGAGCATTATTCACCACGCTTGCTTAAGACGGGTTGGGGATCTCAAACTTATAATTAGAAATTATAAGCTCAGGGGGCTTACTGTTGAATCAATTCCAATCGATCGACATTGGTATTGTGAAAATTTGTATTCTTGAGTTGCACACTAGAGCCCATTGCAACCGTATTGCGTGGATATTGAATAAACTAAATGGTATAGAGTTTGGCTTGATATTACGTACACTGAATGCTATATTTAACAGCTACATAGGGGTTGTATTGTTTTGAAATGAATACCTAATTATTAAGATTTTATTGGATTGAATTTGTATTGACAGTGAGATTGGTTTCAAGAGTAAGTACGCAGATTTTGGTCGGAAGCACTCTGATACTAATTTATCCTTTGAAAGTGGGATATCCAACCTGTTTGTCAAAATCAATTTACCACTTTATGACTTTTTTTATGCCATAAGCCGGTAAACGAGCAGACGGATCCCCTGATGGTAAGCAATCAGCGTCGCCCATGGACACCTGGAACACCAGCGGCGTTACAAGTGCGTCACCGGCTTTTTGGGGATTAGGAGTTTGAGGATCGTTAGTGATTCAGGAATTGGGGAGATTGGGGAAGGGGAGAGTAATTGGGCCTCCGGTAACCTCACTCACACGACGAAACACAACGTAAGCTTCTTTTACTTCTTTCTTTGCTTCACGTCGGTTTTCTGTGAGGCCGTGGTATCACTCCGGTCGAGCCGGCCCATTCGTGCCGAAGCATGGCTCTCCCACACTTAAACATGACTAAACAATAAAGTTTAAAATTCGTTAAAGTAAACATAAATTAATTGTTACAGGTAAAAGATACTGCGACGGTAAGCAAACGAACTTTGGCTGGGATATGACGGGCCAGTCCAACCTGACTGAGCTGCAGATCATACTACAGAAGCGGTTCCTCATCAGACGGACAAAGGAACAGGTGCTCACTAAGCTGGAGGGGAAGACTAGGTATGTAGGGAAAAAGAGTTTCTGGAAATCTTTATTAATATTATTATAAATACGAAAGTGTGTTTGCTTACTGCCTCGTTGGCCGAGTGGTCGCAGGTGCGACTGCCGGGCGAAGGTGTCGGGTTCGTTTCTCGGGTGGAGCAAAGTATTACTGGGTTTTGAAAAAATTCTCAGTAGTAGCACGGAGTCTGGAAATGTGCCTGGTATGTGGCATTAGGCTCACCCCCTATTACATGGGACTCATAACATGAATAGTGAAAAGTGGGTGTTACATCGTACAGTGGCATTAAGTGCCGTAATGTACACCTCTACCTACCCCTTCGGGGATAAAAGGCGTGAGGTTATGATTTATGGTTCTTTGTTTGTATTTTTGTTACGTCGCAATGAAGCAGTTTTATAATATGATTTGTATGGAGACTACTTTTTTAAACAAAACTAAACTTTACTTTGAATTCTCAACCAGACCTTTTGCTCAACAATCGCAACCAATATATTGTTCTTATTGATATTATTCATACTAAATTCCCTACAAAACATGTACACATTTACAGAGAGACAGTTCTCCTGGATCCATCACTGCTAGACTACAGCCAGGACACGGAGAAAGGACTCTCAGAGATGGCGGAGGCTTACAAGGCCAGTAAGTCATCCGACAAACACGCCGCACTCATTACTTACTTCAGCGAGTCTGCTAAGGTCAAGATACCCGCTGTATGGTTAGTATACACTTATTTAATTAATGTACTGAGACTTTGGATTGGACGCCTTTTTTGAAATCTTATCAACCGGGAAATTACGTTCAGAATCATCGCAAATGCTTTGCCGACTTCTCCAAAAATGACGATGCTAATGCCATTAAATGTATGGACATCCGAATCTCTTAGGGTAAGCTCACACTGAGACGCAACGCGACTAGACCAGGAATGGAAGAGGTTAGTGACATCGCGCTGCTCATCCCAAAATCGCCATGTGCATTTTAAAGTTATCTAAAAATCGCGGGTTACTCACGTGAATATACTGAGAAAAGTTCTACTAGTTTCGAACCACAGAGGGGTTCTTACTCATGAGCAGCGTGCGCGATGTCAGTAGGCTGCGCGATATCGCCACGACCTTTTCTCAGTATATTCACGTGAGTAACCCGCGATTTATATTTAATTTAGTATGTCTCACGATAGTTACCTATTATAAAAACATCGCAAAGTTGACAATAAGGGTAGAAAATAAAGTTAGTTTTCGAGTCGATCTTATAAAATGTACGCGCAGCGTCGCGTCGCGTTTCGTTATGAGCGATGTATAGATTCTTACCTTTTACATTACACATAAACTATACCTCACTTATAATCTGTGTTACTTGCCTGGCCGAAAACGCTAATTAAATTTCCATATAGCAACTAGGCTTTATATTTTATTGGTGGACTTACTACCGCAGGCATTTTCTCCCAGCCTGACCTTTGGGTGATGCAGAGAAGAGTTAATGGTGTGAGCAAGAAGCAAGCAACGATTTAATTGAACAATTAAAATAGATACACACATATTTCAGAGATAAACATAAATAAACATAATTGTAATATATATTTTCTTATTGGATTTTGTCTATAATGTATCATTATACGTTACAACATGTGATTCCCGCAGTAAATACATCCGCTCGCTGGTAGTGTCGCAGCCCGCGAGCAAGTTCCTGGTGTTCGCGCACCACCGCGGCGTCATCGACGCGGTGTGCGGCACCCTGGACGCGGCGGCCGCGCCATACATCTGCATCGTCGGCTCCACGCCCGCGCATGCCAGGGCTGTGAGTATTACTGTATATTTATTTAAATAATTTTTTTATTGATATAATAATATAGCATACTATTTATTCGAGTAACCAATAATATTCTAACTTTAGCTTAGCCTATTAGTATTGATATTAAAACTGCCCATACACTGGGTAAAATAGCGTCTAGAAGAAAGATGAAGGTAGAAATATCAATTTTGTAGAAGTCGGGAGGGGGGGGGGGACAAGCTAGAAACTAATATTATTATAAAGCCATAGAAATTGAATCTAGTAATCAGGCAACGCCGATCTTCAAGTGAATAAAGGTTGTAAAAAAATAAACACCTATAGCGCCATATGTCAGTCTGAGATGGCTGACATAAGTTGAGGTTTGACATTCACCATCATAGAACGGTCGGTAATAAGTTCTAAAGGTTCTTAACTATAAATGCAGACACGGGTCTACATTTCTCACTACAATTCCAAAGTTAAAATAAAAATCGTATATTGTTGTTTATCCAGGAGTTAGTGGACAAGTTCCAGCACAGCCCGTCGTGTCGCTGCGCCGTGCTGTCCATCACGGCGGCCAACTCCGGCATCACGCTCACTGCCGCCAACCTCGTACTCTTCGCGGAGCTGCACTGGAACCCAGGGGTCACTGTTTTACATACTATTCTATATACAACATATTTTATTCAATTAAAGCGTACATCGTCAGGCCCAGACATACCACTTCTGGTGTACAGGCTTATTAGACATTCTCAACAAAAGAGAGACTTACCATCATTTCTACGGTTGGAAGGTGCGTTCTAGATAACAGTTTAAAGTTTGAAATAAAGAAAAATATTTTATACACCAAATACACAAACAAAATAAAACAAACAACAACATGAAAATAACAATTATGTGTAATAATTTATATAAACGTAAACTAACTGTAAAAAAACGGTCTTCAACCCTATTTTTGAAGTCTGTTAATTAATATACTAAAACCTTTTCGTAAGTGTAACATCACTTTTCTGAAAACCGCATCAAAATCGGCCAATGCCAATCGCGAGATAATCGCGCACAAATATATATACAAACATACATACAGGTCAAATTGAGAACCTCTTTTTTTCTTTTGAAGTCGGGTAAAAAAATCAATGAAGTGTCAACATGCCCCCCTGCTGCTACAAAATATTTCAAACATCAGTATCTTGTTTAAAATGTTTATTGCCTATTTTCTAAATAAATTAATAATGGTTCCAGATCCTGACGCAGGCGGAGTCCCGCGCGCACCGTATAGGCCAGGCGGGCGCAGTCTGCGTGCGGTACTTGTTGGCCGCGCGGACTGCGGACGACTACATGTGGCCCATGTTGCAGAGTAAACTCAATGTACGACGTACAGACGACCATACACTACGACAAATGTCCTGCGACACGTGTCGCCAGCGACGTCGGGTGAAGTCGCGCGACGTTGCCGGACTTAGGTCGACAAGTCTGGCAACATCAACGTGTATTAGTCAAAGTCAAAGTATTTATTTCAATTAACATATTTTGGTACATATATTCATAGTTTGGTACTTTTGAAACGTCAACAAATACAAAACAAATAATAGTCTGTCAGTCAGTCCGTCAGTGAAACTAGGTGAAGCTAGGTGCTCATTCCAAAATGTAGATTCGAATGAAGAAGAACGAGCAAGAAACTCCATTCGTTACTCTTTTTAAAAAAGTATGTTCTACAATGTGTCTGATACATATTCCAATACTGTACGCATATGTAAGAACAATGTGGTGGATATTGTAGTGCAGTGGATATAAGTCATCGTTTATGTTAGGCGACATCGACCGACTTCGCTTGACATGTTGCCGATACATGTCTTGGGACTTTTGTCCCCTAGTGTATCCTTAGCTTAATAAACCTATTGTTGTTTCAATTAGATACTATTTTATTGAAAATGTTCAATAGCAAATATTCCTATTTTTCGACTCGATTTTCAAATTGGAATGTTAAATCGAGTCTGACCATCGATTTTATTCGATCTGAGGCCTTAGTACGAGTTTGATTTACGTTTAAAGTAATCGTAACGAGTACGCGTTCGGCACTCTGATTGGTTGGTTTATTGGTGCCGGCCAACCTAAAAGCCTCCAAAACAACAAAACAACCTTAAAAACCTAAAGGCCTCTGGTCTTTGAATCGATACTCAGAAAATAGCACGGAGTTTGAAGTAGTGTCAAGTGTTTATCAACATAAGGTTGTGTAGGGGTTGTAAATCCCTACAGTGTTGATTATAAGTTTATGTTGTAATGTTGAATGTTTTTATGTTAAATGAGTAGACGACCAATCTCTTAGATAGTTTTATTGCTACTGAATTAAATTAATTATACGAACAGTTTACAATGTTCAGAAATGCTGATTACGATGATTTAATTATTCGCGCGTATGACGACAAAGTCAATGTACAGCGTAGCTCGTACAGGTTGTATCCCTTAAATTCTCCAACATTATGTTTATTTTTTACAGGTTCTCAACAACGTAGGATTAAGTAGAGATACATTCGAAGATAGCACGTTAATACATCAAGTAAGTACTTGCACTAATAAACTAAAATAATTATCATTGACTTCACTTCGACGCCATTTTTTTATGATATAAGCCGCTAAACGAGCAGACGGATCACCTGATGGTAAGCAATCGACGTCGCCTATGGACACCTGGAACACCAGAGGCGTTACAAGTGCGTTCCGGATTTGGAGAGCAGGAATTTGAGGAATGTTGGGGATTCAGGAATTGGGTTGTATATAGTAGTTGGGCTTCCGGTAATCTCACTCACATGACAAAACACAAAGCAAGCGTTGCTTCACGTCGGTTTTCTGCTCGGCCGTGGTATCACTCCAGTCGAGCGGCCCGTTCGTGCCGAAGTATGGCTCTCCCACAATGACTAACCGACCGATTTCGATTCCCACACAATTCAATTATTTGTTTGTTCCATATCTGCAAATGGATTACAAATCGGAATAACAGAAAATATCCTAAAACATTTTAAAAAAAGGCATAATCATTTATTTCAATTAGACCAGGAAGGCACTTTTGAACGTCAAACAATAAAAATTTAGAAGTGAAGCTAGTTGCTCATTCCAAGGTATAGATTCCTATGGAGAAGAACGAGCAAAAACTCCATAGGTTACTCTTTTTCAATCAGGTTTACAATACAATTCTCTAGTTACATACTTTTATTGGTTCGATTGTGTGAGAACAATGCAACACCTAAATCCAGTCAAAGAGACTGAAAAAGAAAATAACCTTGAGGATAATAAAATGATACAATCTGGAGCTGACCAGTTCCAATCGACGGCGCCCGTTCACGAACATTTGGCGTACCTACCCCAGCACCGCTCAACTCAACCATTTTGTAGGGAATCGAGCGATCCAATGCATTTCTTTAATAAACAAGAATTTAATTTGATTTCTTTAATCTTTTTAGGAACCAAAAAACAATATTTCACAGTACCTCGCACCGAATACAACAAAGAACAAAAACGACTATATTCCAGGTACAAATATTAGGAAGGATTCAATGAAAGACAATGGAAACACCTCAATGGATCAGGTGGACGGAGGTAAGGAATCTAATGGGGATGACGTAGACAGATCCTTCTTAGATGACGATGAAGATGATGAATTATTGGCCAACTTAGATCTATAACTAATGTGATATTTATTTGTTTATAAAGATTTTTTGTCATATTCTATTTGTTTTATTGATTCGCTTATACATATACGCCTATACATAAAATCATCGAATGACTGCTCTCGTCTGGGTGAGGCGTGAGTGTCAGACTCTTACTGACTAAAAACCACCCCGTTCCTTCTCCTGCACTTCGAGCCGGAGCCCGGGTAACTCGGTAATATTTTTTCATTACCTAACTGACGGACTAATTACATTTTTAATATTCATACCCTGCCATCATCCCTATTGTATTAATTGGTAGGAAATAATAAAATAAGTGAAGTCCTAAAGGCATGATACAAAAACACAGCAACAACAGTTATGTATTGTTTTAATTCTTCAATGTATCAGTGACGCAGTCATCGTTGGTTGTTGTTCCGACGATGGTGTGCCCTGCGGAAGTGTAGCATACGGAGTATTGAGTCATCTCCGCCATATCTCGTTACCAGCCTGAAAAATGTAAATATTAACGTTTTATGGAGATAACTAATAACCGAAATCCAAAAACTAGTGATCAGGGGCGTAGCTAGCACCCTACCTGCCGTATCAAGCAAAAAGTAATAAAAACCTCCTAATTTACATTTTACCTCAGTATTCAGAAAAGTAAAAATAAGTGTGATTTGCCACGTAAAGCATGCATTCAAAGGTTGGCAGAAACTTTAGGAAAACTTAAGTAATCGTTGTTCTATCATTTTAGAAGAGAGAGGCACTGGAAAGTTTTGACAATAATATTAGTATTATAAGTGTAGTGTGTTTACGCCACTGGGAGTGATTTAATTTTTTGACAGGAACTCTATACTTAGTAATAAATGTCATAAATTATCCCAATACACAGTTGTGATTTTAATCTGTAAAGTGCAAGTCATTGTTGGAGGCCTGTGTTCAGCAGTGGACACCGTTGGCTGATAAAATTTATTTAATTTTGTATCAGGAAATCCAGGGATATACAACACTAGCGACACGCTCCGTCTTCGCACGGGTGCAATATGCATGTATGTATACATAAAGACCTTCCTTAAAAATCACTCTATCTATTAATGAAAACCCAATCAAAATCCGGTGCGTAGTTTTAAACATCTAACCATACATAGGGACAGACAGACGGCGGATAGCGACTTTGTTTTATACTACTTACTAGTGACTAGTGAAGATTCCATTTTCCATATTACAAGATAAATATTGCTGATTAGCTGAAACTACAAACATCGCACCGCTTAAAAAAAATTCTCACCTTTTAATTTAAACTTTCACTGGACTTCCATGAACGTTTCAAGACCAAAATTTGCCAAATCGATTAAGCCGTTCTCCAGTTTTAGCGAGATCAACGAACGGAAATTATTTTTCTATTGATATTGCTTTTGTGACTTCGACTGTATCGTCTTCTAATAAAGTTGAAAATCTTAACGTACCGTGGGTCGCTGCCGGAACAGTCACCCATCTTCAGGAATTTAATGCTAGAGTCCTTCTTAGCATGGCAGTGTAACACGCATACGTTGGCGTATGTATTGTGATCGGTAGCACAGACTGGTTTGTGCACAGCCGCGCATGTGCAACGACCTTTAGAGTCCTGTGGTTCTTTCATATTTACATGTTCGTTTGGATCGTCCCTGAGGGTGTAAAACATATCAATTAATGTAGTTAGTCGTCGCAGAGCTATTTAAAAACGTTAAAATCCTTTAAGTTTACGTTCAGATAATATTCTTAATCACAAAATTGCAGTGAGATGAAAATAGTCTGTGGTCGGTACCCGTTTTAAGGGGGAAAACATTGAACTATTAAAATCTTTAACTCTACGTTTTTCTTTATAAGTTATTTTCATTCCACGTCCAACATCAGTTGGTTCCGACTCTTGTATCTTGATTAAGTTTTGATAAGACTTAAAAAAATAGGTGACTTAACATATGTTTAATACTAAACTTAGTTTATTTAAAATCAATCAACTCAGCCAAACGCTATCATGCATCATCAGTCTCTGAAATGTTTTGTTAAGGAAACAAGTTACTTTTTTTTTTGAACTCACGTAGATGTTGCCGCGTATACTACCCATAGTTATGAGCCCCGTTCTTAGCTTGAAACTAGTTGTGCAACCGTCGAACAATTATGTGTGATTAACAAATGGCACTTAATTTTAAGTCGCGCTAGTTCTGTATCTAGAAATTCTTTGTAAAATGACAAAAGCGGCACGATATTTAAGTACAACATAAAATTGAGTAGCCTTTCAGTATTCGGGCGTAAACTATACAGGGTGGAATTTTGTAATGCAACCTGAATGAAGGGGAAGTACTCTTAATATTAAGATAGAAAATTTTACTCAAAGAAAACATTCCTTTATTTTTGAAACGAAAGAAAACTGCATTCAAAGATTTTTAAAATTCACTTGCTGCTCACGGTAATCGAACCGACTAAAATCTGTAAAAGTTGCACCCTGTACATTTATTGCATCGATTGTTCGGGTCAATAAGGATGAAATCTCTCTAACAAACTTCATAAATTTAATGAAAGAAAAACAATGAACGATCAATGCGTATTAAGAGTAGGTACTTCCCCTTCAGGTAGCATTACAAAATTCCACCCTGTATATTCTAATTTTGATTAACTTGAGCTTAAAATAGTTATGTTAAACGTACTTGTTATTACAAATGTTCTTGAGATCCTGTGACTTGGGCTGTTCTGTTGCGCAAACGCAACTGTCCCGATTAGTGCTCCCGCATCGGAAATAATAACTTATCGAGTTGAGAGGGCAATCACATATTCTCTTTGGTTTACCTTGTTGATTGTTTTCATAATTCAACCTGCACAGATGTGTATTTTTAAACCATGACGGTGGCAAAAATACCTGATGGTAAGCGATTACCGTGGCCTATGTACGCTTGCAACACTCGAGGCATTACATGCACTTTGTATGTATTTATCAGGTTAGAATAGGAAGGAAATTGTAACCAGATTTTTGTTTAACCTAGTTTAGGAAATACAATAAAGAAAAAAAGGAGGTGATTTCAAAGGATGATTGTGAAAATGAGTCTGTTAGAATTTCATAAGGAATATTAATACTAAGATGTTCATACATAGTGACTAAAGCCATAGCTGATACAGAAGAATAGGTAAGATACGGGTCCCACGAGAGATAAAAGTAATTACTGTGAATAAAAATAACGATGCTATGAAAGTGAGGTACCTAAATATGTTAGTTTCCTTAACAAGATGCGTGTGCGTGACAGTTCACTGTGCGAATGCGGTCTCGATGAGGGTACCTATATTGCCATATATTATTTTCCTGACCTCTGGATTCCCACTACTTCAACTTATAGGAAAACCTTCTAATATCCAAATTGCCCTTCCAATCAACTTTCACTTTTTCTCTTCTTTTCTCGCCCAAGTTAGTTAAATGTCTATCCAAATTCTTTAATGAAAATAATACTAAAATATGACGGTGTGTAATGGTGACAGGGTGTAGTAATGTGATATGCATGTGTAATTTATTTATTAATATTATTATATGTATTGTATGTATAAAGTATTATTACTATATATAGATATATAGTTCCAAATGATTTGTCCCTTCCAGTAACTAACAACTACCAGAAAGTTAAAGTTCGACGGTTGATTAATCTGCCGTCACCGCTCGACACTGGCATTATAGTCGACAAAATTGTATTGGAGACTCGGTAGCCATTCAAGAAAGAAAAGAAAAACTATGTTAGTTGCACTTTAAGTTCATTACTCTAAATTCGAATACAAGTACTCTAAATATGTCGCGGAGAACCTAACGGGTAACCGGGGCTCCGGCTCGACGTGCAGGAGAAGGAACGGGGTGGTTTTTAGTCAGTAAGAGTCTGACACTCCCTTCCGCCTCACCCAGGCGGGAGCAGTCATTCGATGATTTTCCCCCCTTTACAAAAAGTACTCTAAATACTGCTTTAGCCAGTTCTTTGAGCTCTTGTACACGAAAAAGATAGCTGGTATCTATAGTCCCTTAAAGTAATGCGTGTAGCATTTGACGGAGTCGATTGATCATCAAATTATAAGATAAACTACCGATTATCATTTCCGTTTGATTGCTTTCCTTTGCAGTTCTTAGGGTCTTTATAATTCTGTTGTTCTCTAGAGGTAGAGATGCATACTCCCCAGTGGTCGAAGTCTATGGACTTGTCGTCCAAGGCTTCGGAATCGCAGCGCATCACACAGTAATTGGGATAGGTGATGCCATTCGTAGCGCAGATCGGACCGCTCGCCGGGTTGCAAGTACATGTCTTTAATACAGTTCTTGATATTAACCTATGTGTACGTTTTTATTAGTGGTGTCATTTTAACTCTGTTAATTTAATTCTTTCTAGCAGTTTTTTGGCTCCATGACAGTTTTATACGCACTGCATTTGTGATCTGATCACGTAAACTTGTCACACACGACATTACAATGTCGGATTATGTGTGTAAGTGTCGTGCGCGTGCGTACGCTTGTAATTCTGTGCTCTAAATTCAAAAGTTAACGTATTCAGTACACAGATGATTTGCTTACGATATCATAGTGCATACGGCCACACATCAATCTATACAAAACCAGTTTATCCTGGTGTCGCGTCGCATCGTCTTTCCGCACATTTACGTTCAGCTTATACTGGTTAAGTAAAGCTCGATGTGTAGCCGTGCGTACAACTGACCGCCAGTAGGAATTTTGTACCGAAATGATGTCTCTCCAGTTGCTGCTAGTGAGGTGTACAGGTATGTTAGTCCAATTTCCTTACCTGTCACCGTTGACTGATTATAATTGCCTGGCAATCAAGCAATATTATACCTTTGGTCAAAATATATTACGGTGCTTATACTGCATTAGTGTTGTTGCCAAAATACCTGTTTTTAAAGGTTTTTAAAGTGCGTCCTGAATGAGTGTGAATATGAAACAGAAAAGACACTAAGGTGAAGAAAAAGCAGCTAAGTAGGTGCATTCCTAAGTGTTTTTGTTAGTAAAAACAAGTATACAGCAATAGGGATTACAACCACTTCATTATGAATTAATTTAGTAGCCATGACTGAAGATAACACATGGTTACAGAAATGAGATGAAGCTTTTAGTGTAGTTTTATAAATACCGTGAATGTCCGCCACCCGGGCACTCTCCTTTATGATTAATACTGATTGAAGAATCCTTTTTCCTGTTGCATTCCAAGACACATTCGTTGGAGTACGTGACTCCGTTCGTGGCACACACAGGTTCGTATCTGGCGTGGCAGGAGCACCGCGAGTCAGGCTGGCACACACCTTTATGGTTAACTTTAATATCGGTATGACTTATTGTCTTTTCGCACTCTAAGAAGCATTCGTTCAAGTAGGTTCCGCCGTCTGAACCGCATATTGGGTCGAAGTTTTCTTTCGAGATGGTGCAACCACAGGGATCGGCCAGGGCTGAGAAACTTGTGCAAGAACTGTTGTTCCCTGGTAGTACCGCCAGCAGTACTGATGCGGTGATGATTATGCCTGTGACAAAGATAGTTGTTTTTAGCTTTTGAACTTTAAAAGGAACACATACATGCATTAACATAACATCACGCCTTTTATCCCCGAAGGGGTAGGCAGAGGTGCACATTATGCCACTGTATAATGTAACACCCACTTTTCACTATTTATGTTATGAGTCCCATGTAATAGGGGGTGAGCCTATTGCCATATACCGGGCACATTTCTAAACTCCGTGCTACTACTGAGATTTTTTTTAAAACCCAGTTCGATTCCCCTTGCCTGGCAGTCGCACTTGTGGCTACTCGGCCAACGAGGCAGTCTAAATATTACTAACTATTTAAAAGGAACTTATTGTTTAAGTCTTCATCTAACTGTGTTTAAGAGTACCTACTTCAATTGATGTGCCCATTATTAAAGTGACATTAGAAAGTCTTGAGAACGAGTCTGTAGGTATTGTCCTCCAGTTCTCATATGATATCCAGGAAAACTCCCTCGTTGACCGAGTGGTCGCAAGTGCGACTGCCGGGCAAGTGGTCCTGTGTTCGATTCCCGGGTCGGGCAAAGTATTATTGGGTTTAAAAAAAATCTCAGTAGTACCACACGGAGTCTGGAATTGTGCCCGGTTATGGTCATAGGCTCACCCCTTAATGGGGGATATTGGACTTATAACATAAAATAGTGAAAAGTGGGTGTTACATTGTACAGTGGCATTAAGTGCCGCAATGTGCACCTCTGTTATAATTATGATATCCAGGAAAACAATTACTTACCCACGGTTAAATACATTTCAATTTTTCTATATCATAACTGTTATAATCCGAGAAGTGAGTACCGTTGTGTGCTATCAAATATTATATGCTTACTTTCACGCGATAAATTTGTACACGATTACCGTTTAATTAATATTTATTGGTAAATTATTGCAATGATTATTTGTATTTTCATATTTCGCAGTAACAATGACTTGAAAGAAGGAGATTAGCACCTCCTTATTACGGGGTGCTTAATGGGCAATTACCATCTCTATTATTTTGTTTTTTTTTTTTAAATGTATTTAACCGAGTCTCCAATACGATGTTGTCGACTATACTGCCAGTGTCGGGTGGTGAATCTCTATTATTGTTTAGCAGTTCGATTGAAAACTGACGCTGACAAATCTTGATAGTGTATTTCGTGTAGAGTACCTACTTATTTCTTTTAAATGTAGCTAGAACATCGTTAAAACTAACCTTATAATGAAATCAGTTAAGAATCCAATAAATTTGATTAAAGTGACAATCGTCTTGTATTCAAACCAACAAAGTGGTCTTAACAATTCCAAAAAAAAAAAACATTTAAGATGTGAATGTCAATTTATATTAAAAAAAAAAAAATTGACCATGGTATAATTGATTATTATTCATTCATCTATCCAGAAAATGCCTTATTAATATTTAGTATAAGACCATAATACTTCTGTTCCAAATTTAATATCGGGATTAAATTTCTCCGATACGATGTTGTCGACTATACTGCCAGTGTCGGGTGGTGAATCTCTATTATTTTTTTTTCTCTTCTTTCTATCCAGTAAAGTGCCTTATTCATATTTAGTACAAGACCATAATATACTTCATTTCCAAATTGAATCCCGATCCCTTTATCAGTTTTGATATGACTGTGTAACAAACATACATACAAACACACAAAATTTCGCATTTATAATAGCGGCGATTTAATTTCGACTATGCGCCCTGCAGTTACAGTGTAAAGTCCACTGCGGTAACCCTAAATTCAATAAACTTATATTTGCGTTTGGTACAGAAATCATGTCTAGGGAGCGAGCCGCATAATTAGGTACGTTTGTTTTTTAGTGTATATTTTACAGACAAAGTGATGATGACTTAAAGCAGGGCCTGTCCAAACAAAGGCCCGCGACTTGTTTTCATGTGGCCCGCGACACATTTTAATCTCAACATCTTCATGTGCAACAACAATAATAAAATTCAGTGTACGATCTGTACACAAGTTTTGTCTGTGAGAAAAGAATACAAAGTTAATCATTATTATACAACTGGCCCTCCAGATTTTGTAACAAATTTAATTAGCCCACGAGGATTTATAGTTTGGACAACCCTGACTTAAAGTAAGGTAAAAATTATGTTAGGAACTCTTGGTTCGTCATAAAACAACATTCTTTTCCAAACTACTGCTAGTTGGTCCAGAATTTACGAGTCCTTACTACTGCAGCACTATTCAGGACAACGTAAGCAAAAATACTGACGAAAAAATAATAATTGTAGCAACAGGAATCTAAAGACTGGCACAGGGTGTACTTTTTCGTAGATAATATAAGTCATTGTAATTTAAAAACTATATGATTTAGATTTTTTTTTATATTTCTCTGATAAATGTTGCCGATCACCTACCATTTGATCGTCGACTTCAGGGACACCCTGTATATGTTTAAATATAGATTGTTCCGAAGTACTGATTATAAATTACCTACATTATACCTATGTAGTGCATGTGCACTCCTTAACAATTTTCTTCCTCTTTTTGCACCTTGGATATCTTGATTATCATTTTCAGTTTTTATAAAAATCAACGCTCCAATTGATCCTACTTGAGCCTTCGCCCCTATAATGCTGTTTAAATTAAGAAACAAATATTCTTCAATTTTGATATAGTTTAGGGTAAAAACATTTAAGTCAATAAAAATAAATATTAATAATTAATTCAAAATAAATGAACACACTCAGATTTTTCGACATTTTATTTTTCAGTAGGTATATAAATGTAATATCACTGTAGTAATCGACCACCATTTCGACATCAGTAATTTAAACTACGCTAACTCGAATTTTAGGTAAAATCGTTTATTTGAGTTGCTTAAAACACGGTTTTTCATATGGCTATTTTGTTTAAAGCTCTCGTTATTAGTTGGTCTATCAAATTTCACCATCTTACAAGATGTTGAGAAGCCTAACCTATCACTTAATAACACCTTCCAGGGTACTTCACGCTAATGCTGGAATCCTTGTCACTGGCACAAAGGAGCTTGCAAAGGTTGAAGTACGTCACACTGTCAGTGCCACACAGCAGCCTTTTCATTTCAGGACAGTCACAGTCGTCACCATCGTCTCTTCCTTCATCTTCATTCAGTTCATTACTTTGTACGTATGGTCCTTCATTGTCCGCCAGTATAGAGTATATGTGTACACCCAGCAGCAACAATATTCCTGTTTGGGTGTAGAGGTTTAAATAGACCTTGTTTAATTACTGTTTATTTAAGTATTAAATTTATTATTGAAACGGTGACTGGACTTCACTAAAGCCTTTGAGTCGATAAAATTATCGAATTTATTTCCACCTATGTATGTTTATATGCATAAGCTCGTAGAATTTTGGTTTTACTCAAGGTTCTATACTGGGCCCTTCGCACTTTAAAATATGTGTCAGTTCACTTACTCAACATTCTTCTGTAAAAGTGCTAACTAATTCACTTGAGGATTATAATTTGTCTTATCCATAACTTTATCTTGACATCTTGTTTATACTTACCGAAAGACCACTTCATCTTTTCCATAAACTCATTATATGCCACTAAAACAGCCAAACTGTAAAATATTGAAATACACGTCACTGCCTATCGCCTTGTAATAATTATAAATGCTTTTATCAGACTTGGTACGTACACAAAGCACCGCTAATTAGTTGCAGCGCTACACATCGACACAACTGTCATTTACACAGTGTACATGTGTGCGTAATTTCATATAACTGTATATAAAAATATTCGTCCACCACGTTCACATTGGTATTTTCATTCTTGTGTCGGTATACGTATTTTTATAATTTAATGCATAGGTAAGGTTAAAACTATTTACAATCATTGATATGACCCGACATTTTCACTGTCATTATCGTAGTGCTCGTGGTCGATTGGTTAATGAGCACGCTTTTATCGTCTTTCAAGGATCAATGATGTGGGTTCTATTCCAGCTAAAAGTTAATTTTATTTTACCTTGTTATTTTTCTTATTTTTTTTTTTTGTTTTTTGTTTTTTGTCATAAAATATAAATATCAGGCTATAAAAGAAGCAAATGAGTTGGTAAATAAAACAATACTATTTTTTATTACAATTAATTTATTTATTATACAAATATGTTGTTTTTATTCAATATTTATATCTAATAATTAATTATATACACATGTTAAGTTTAAAGTTCTTTAAATCATAATTAATAGATATGACAATAAACCTCATAGTCGAATCGGGAAATATCATGCGGTACAGCGGTAATACGATGGCAGCAACATTTTTTATTAAGTAATAAACAAATATACAACATTCTTGTTTTGTAATTTAATAATATAATGTATTATTAAATTACAGTTTTACAGTATAAACAAGTAAAACATGTAAAAAATTACATGTAAAATATTTCTTGAAATGGGCGACTTTTTGTCGTTTGAACTTCCATTAATTATCTATTTTTACGACGGTTGTTATAAGGTTCAATATTCAGTGGCTGTATGATAGTAAAAAGAATGTGACGAATGCTATGGAACGATTTTAACTTTCATGACCTTTAGAATCAGGGAAACTTTAAATTAATTGAAGATGGGCGTAAATATAATATGTCAATCAAGTTCGAAAGCAGTTAAATAAATTTGTTAATGAAAAATTAAAGTGAAGTGAATAAACATGTGAATAGAAAGAAATTATGACAATTTCTAACCACAAAACAATAACATCACTTCACCGTATGTTCTAGACAGCATTTTAATATTCTTAAAAAAATTAAACATTATTTTATGTTAATTTTAATAAAGGCAGAGTTTGACAGGCTCAATAATTGATTCCGAAATCAATACAATCACTGATCCTACAAGGCAGAAGGTTGCAATTCGTATACCTTTCTCCATCTTTTCTTCACAATATTTTACGCCCATCCTTATCCGACTTGAAAGTCTTTTCGTCGCTCAATATGATTACACTGTTCGCCCAATCAAAATTAATAAAGTCCTTTAAAAAATTCTTAGCGCTTTTGCTGGTGAACCACAGATAACAATGTTTTCTTCTCTGGCTTCCTGCACCTTAAACCAGAATGCAGGTGTCTCCGTACAGTTTGTATTAAAACATTCAGTGCTGTCGCTGTAGTGCGGGTTGGCAGGAACGGATCAGCCATGTGCCTGGCTACGACGTCGTAGTGCCGAGCCGATGAATTTGCCTTTGGTTTAGGCCCACGTCGACGATGTTTAACGTCACCGGTCTCCGCATATCTGTGCACCATAACTGCATGGATCTCCTCTGTTGATACCAAACAAATAAGTATTTAAAATACCAGGAAATACTTTACAGGAATTAAAGTTACTTAAAAATAATAATAAATATAAAGTAAACACAATGTTAGAATAATAATTTATAATTAAGTAGTGGCGTAAGAATAAAAATCCCTAACCAGATATGTTTTAAAGAAACACTCCTAACAAAAACAAGTCAAGTTACAATACAATTAATAATAATTATTAATATATCTTTTATAATATTGAACTTCATAATAAGTTGCAATTTATTTTATTCTAGTGCAAAAATTGATAGGTGTGTCGTGTTACAAAATGAAATAAATATTATTTAGAATAACAACGTAGTATCTTATTTACTCACCGATATCATTAAACGCCTTGCTATTTCAGTTATTGTTAGTTATGTTTTGCTCATGCAAACAATGGTTTCAGCCTTTTTAAATGTTGATAGGTGTTGGAACATCTTGTAAAAATAAAAATAACTTTGCACACGAATATAAGTAGTGTAGCAATAAACTATGAAATCCTCATAAATTGACAACTAAGAACGCAATTATTTTGTAAGTCGGGTGATTTGAAAACATGTTTTAAATAGTCGGTAGTTACTTCATAAGCGTGTAAAATAAAATGACTCGAGATTTCTATGGTCGCCACAAACATTGCAAATATACTCAGGTATCGAACCATTAAGAAATCACAGTTAATTACTTTTTTACTGTTTTTATCTTATTTAAGTTGGTTGAAATGCATAAAGCA